TGACTTATCCTTCACTAGTCCACTGTTTTGGTATCTAGCATGTCAGAATAAATCTTACAGCARTACAGGTTAGCAGTAACTCTGCTGACATAAAACCAGCATAAATACAAACAGAGGCTGGGCCAAACTTCCCAGGTCAGATCTGATCCCTGAACCTTTGGCATAGCTCCAGCATTGTATAAAGCATTWTTTTWTTTWWTTTTTTTAAGGATTTGTGTGTACTTAATTTGTGTGTACTTAAATGCGAAAAGTAGCAAGATTTCTGTTCTTGGAAATTCAAGTRTAGGGGCATTCTAACTGGGCTCAGCTACTATACTGCTTCATGGTCCTGTGCAACCCATTCTCAAACCAAAGGACACAGAAAGCAGAATGAAGTTGAAAACTCATGTAATCAAACTGTTGAAATTTTATTTTACAAAGGAGTATGCAACAGGTCGGTGACATTAGTCTTATTAACTTTATATTAAAGGAGTATGTAAATTTATTAATATARAGGGTGATGAGCCTTGGATCGAGATGACATTGTTGGTTTCAGAAAGGTGYCACTTCTAGGCTTTCTTCGTTAAARTGATGGGTCCACATRTTGCCTGTCTGCGATAGAAATTACAGAAGTACCTAGCACTCGTGCCAGCTAACATGTCACTTGATTCCTATACACTCGKTTTCTGCCTTGAGACGGGGGCAGGGAAGGCGTTACAGGAGCCTTAAAGCCAAGCCCAAGCAGCCYCGCCGGCGAGAGTTAACCCCTTCCTAGGAGAAGGCATGRTCCGGGCTCTCTCCTGCACCGCAGMTCCTCCAGGCCGGGTACCGCCGGCTTTCAGCATCAGCGTTCGATAACTTCATTGAAAAGGAAGTGTTCCGACAAGGAAATTTTCTGACCTTCCTTCACWGCCGTGACACGGGCATGGTTCATGGCCCTAGGTCATTGAAGTAAAACGACGGATGGCAAGACGTATATATATATATGTATATCTATAAAGAATGTATTTCTTAGCACCGACAAGAAAGGATGAGAGAAATAGGACGGTTGTGCACGGCTCTCCTTCCTCCTGCGTGTTCGCCAGACCCAGGGCTGAGCTTGCCCAAAGGGAAACACCTCAATCCCTGCACTGCCCCAGTGGAGCGGGGGGGTTGGCTGCGGCTGAGTCCGGGGTCCCTGCGTGGATAAATACACGACATCTCTCTCTGGCCCCTTTCAGACTTCCCGCTTCAACTCGGCATCCAGGGGACTGTGGGAGAGCGAGTCGTCCGGAGGGGAAGCCAGCGGGAGCACTGCGGGAAAGGGGGAAAGGGCCGAGCGGGATCGCAGCCTCGCCCSCAGCCTGCCAGCCGGGACACATCACCGGGCGGGAGGTGAAAGCGCTCTTACCTGGGAATGGGAATCGCGCACGTCCCGCTCCCCCCGCCGGACGCCTTTCAGTCCTAAAATGCGGGGACACGATTGCTTAACATCCCCCAAAGCAGCCGCGCACAGATGCAGGGAGCTCACTGTGTGAAGCCGCGCAGTCCCACAGCCCGTCTGTCCCCAAGCCCGCGGCGATGGGATGTGATTCCACCCCAGTGGCTCCGCTTCGGATGCTGAGGGCAGTTGCGAGCCGCAAACTCTCCTCAGGTCTGTGTGCGTTTGCTGGAAAGCAACTTGCAGATTAAAGTGAGGCAGGCGAGGCAGCAACTTTCTAGATGCTGGGGACTATTACTTTGCTGTAAAGTAATTTATGCTGTTTCGATAGTTAGAGCTTCTGAAAGGGWCATTTTTCATTTTTTGAGTTTTGATTTTTCCCTCTCAATAATGGGTCATTTCTGACCAGGGCTTTTGCAATACATTCACTTTCTTAAAGCAAAGTCCCGAAAAGCCTTCATTCGGAGGGATTTCTTGCACTATACAGCGCTGTCGGGCTGGGCTGCTTACATTTAGTGGTTTTGAACCACTTTAAAGAGGCAAAGAGTTTTGCCTTTAAATACAAGAAAAAAAAAAAAAAAAAAAAAAAAAAAAAAAAAAAAAAAAAAAAAAAAGGTTCTTGTCTTGGGAAACTGCTCGATTTGCAGGAAACCCTCCGGATGTTTGCTGCTTTTCATGTGGCATTTGTGGTCGGCTCTGATAACGCTGGGAGCACCACTTCCAACACCGCATTCTGTAATGGACCTGAAATAGAAACACATCTCTCGCCGGAGGATCCCCACTCCGCGCCCCCGCGCTGTGTACCGGCGGGTTTAAAAGGTCAATAAATCAGAAGGATGAACTCTCGGTGGCATTGTTAGGTTGGGAAAGTTAACGAATGACCCCAGGAGTCGTGCGACCACGAAGGTTTCAGGAGTGTCAGAAGAAGCTCCCTATTAAACTCTACGGGGGAAGTGAGGTCTCAGCACGGAGCGCGACTGGACTCAGACGCAGCGCAGGGCTCCGTGTTTTAAAGTTACAACTCGAAAATACCTAAACAGTCAAAACAAAAAGCTAGAAAAGAAGTGAGATAATTTGTCTGTGACGCCAGGGGCACTGAAAGGGTCACAAACTGCCAACATTTTCTGTACAAACCAGGGAGCTTTTACTTTCTCGGCTCAGATTCAAAACACACCTTTCTTTCTTTGATCCCAGATCAATGAGCTGTAGAAACGGTTTCAACAAATCTCCCAAACAAAAAGTCAACTGCAGTTGCTTGGTTTATTACCTCATGTTCATTATATAGAAAAACATTTTCTTTTCTGCTGAAAGTGACAGCCCTAAAAATTGCTGTAAGCTTTATTTGCAGGCAGTCCCTCTACTCGCTGAACTTTTCCAGTACAAACCCCTGCGGGATTTGCTCCCTTKGCTCACGAAAATGTTTCTGGTAATTAGGGAGAAAGGGAGAATTTGGCGTTTTAACAAGAGCAGCTGGTAAGGAAAGGTAATATTCTTTCATATTGTCTAAACTCCTAGCTGGTTAGTCTTGTCCGAGTCAGTAATGCGCCGTGAGCTGGGAGCTTCTCTGGGAATCAATGGAAACGGACCCGCTTCCTTAGTGCAGCGCGTTGTTGCCTTCTTGGGTTTTGTTTTGCTTGGAAGTCATGTTGCTTATTCTCCTTGCTGAGTATTCTGTTATCTGCAGGGGAATAAAACCCACACTTCGCTCCTGCATGAGTATTCTTTAAACAAGATTCGAATTCKGTTTAATTCAGAATTTTCTCTGGGTATCGGCCGTGCGTCGGTGCGTGTGACCCGTGTYGGGGCAGCTGGCCTGGGAGTGAGGACTCTGAGTCCCGGCACGTCGGGTCGAGAAATGTCACAACCTCAGCCATAAAACTAAAGCCATTAGTACACCAGTCTTAACCAGGTACGCTGTAAAATAGTGTCCCAAAAGCGCTGGAGTAAAAACGAGTTAAAAAACACTTTATTCCTAGAGAGCATTGCTGGCTATCGCCAGTTCTGGGCTGACGGTCGGATTTACAAGCGCAATGTCCCAGTTAATTTATTTTACAATCAATTCCAAGTGAATAATAAYTTTGCAAGAATGATGTTATTATATACTAGTTTGAGATTAATTTARAAACATGCATTTGCAGGATCACTGTTTTCGCCTGTATACAAGGAGAAAAAGCAGGGCTGTTTGAATCACTGCCTCTCTTGTTGGACTAGCGCGAGTGTTTGAATGGGGAAAAGAAAATTAAAGTTTTTTTTTAAAATTTGGTTTAGGCAGATACCAGTCTTTTTGCAACGGTTTAGACTCATTGCAACTGGATAAGTATGCTACGCCATTATTCTGGAAATGTATATCTTGTATAATCTCTAAAAAAGGGGAACAGAAAGCATAATGAAGAAATGACTTGAAAATTGTCTTCATCTGCGTTAGTCCCTAGCAGCTCCTGTTCGCTACTGCGTTTATCTTCTTTTTAGAATATCTGTCTGACAAGGGTAAAAGAGCAGGTTTAAGTTACACGAAACAGGAAATTCAATATTAGAATATGCTAATGSTGATTCTGGCTTCATTCATTTAATTTAAGCGAGAATTCTTACAATATTGGTTTATTTGATCTAAGTGGCTACCCAAACAAAGGTGTCCTTAACAAAATAAACCTCTTTGATCTTCAGTTTAAAGCTGAGCGGTTTCTCAAATAAGCATTGATGCATTTAATAGCACCACATAACAATGCAAATATTAACCAAAGCGCCCGTGAAAAGACTGTATTCTACATTACTTTTTATGCCAAAGCAGAACATAAATGGTACTGAGACAGAATTTCCGTTTATTCTGAAGTGATGAACTTTTTTTCCAACATCTTTTTGTAATATAAGTTTATCTATTCGGGAAAATCAGAGAAATCCTGATAATGCAATGCAACAAGCATGCAACATAGTTATTAATAGTAACTGCATAGAATAAATATTTACACTCTGACAGCTTTAGTAGGACATATTASGAAAAGGGGAGCTAGGATATATATCATACACTTTACTCTGGGTTCAGCATTCTACTTTTCTACGAGGTTAGATCTCTCATRTGCTTACGAGGGGAAATATGCTCAGGTAGCATAAGAAGCTGGAGCCTAAGGCACAGAGCACTTGTCTTATTGTCCCTGAGATACATTCCAAATCKCCCTAAAGAAGAAGCCTCTTGTATMTTTCAGAGTATTACAGGGCACCTCCGCGCAACAGTAAATACTCTGGCTCTTCCACCTATTTCTATTCCACTCAAGGATGTCCACAGACGCACGGCCTCCGCGGGCCGGTCYCCGCTGCCTTTGCAGAGGGCAGGGTTGAAGCCCGGTGCCGCTCACGAATGCGCTGTCGGTSCCCCGAGCCACACCCCGCACGGTSCCGCGGGGGCGGGGGCRGCGCTGCCCGCGGCGKWGCCCGCGATGCGCTCAGGTGCGGGGCCCCGCCGCCAGAGCCGGGAGGAGCCGCCCCGCGGGGCAGCGCCGCGGGAGCCACCGCCGCCGTCCGGCTGCGCGCCCGCCCCCGCCGCGCCATTGGCCGCGCCGCCGCTCAAATAGGGCCGGGCCGGGCGCCGGCTCCGGCAGCGGCGAGCGGGGCCCGAGGGTCGAGCGTGTAGCGTGGGCTGGCTGGAGCCGCCGGCTTTGGCGGCGATCGGCAGCGCGTCCCGTGCCGGCCCGAGATGAGCAGCCCCGATGCGGGCTACGCCAGCAGCGACGACCAAGTGCAGGGGCGGTGCTCGCTGCCCATCATGATGCCGGCCATGTGCCCCTGGGCAGAGTCGCTGAGCCCGCTGGGCGAGGCGAAGGCGAAGGGCGGCGCGGCGCCGTCGGGACCGTCGGGCGGCCGGAGCAAAGGCGAGGCGCGGATCCGGCGTCCCATGAACGCCTTCATGGTGTGGGCGAAGGATGAGCGCAAGCGGCTGGCGCAGCAGAACCCGGACCTGCACAACGCCGAGCTCAGCAAGATGCTGGGTGAGCGCGGGAGGCCGGGAGGGAGGGTGTGGGGTCCTGGGGAGCGGGGGATGCCGTCGGGCGGACCGGCGAGAGCGAGGAGCTGGGGCGGCCCCGAGGGTCCGGGGTGTGGGCAGGGAGCGGGGGGGATCCGCGGGCTGCCGGGGTGGGATCCCGGCGTGGCGGGGGCTCGGCGGTCGCGTCCGAGGGCGAGCGAGGATCGCGCACACCCGGACGGGTCGGGGGGTCCGGGCTGCGGGCGGGGGCGGTGTCGGTGATGTCGGGAGCGGGCRCGGGTGCCSGTCGGCGGGCGGCCGGTCTGACGGTGTCGGTGTGCGCAGGTAAATCGTGGAAGGCGCTGTCGCTGGCGGAGAAGCGTCCGTTCGTGGAGGAGGCGGAGCGGCTGCGGGTGCAGCACATGCAGGACCACCCCAACTACAAGTACCGGCCGCGGCGGCGGAAGCAGGTGAAGCGGCTGAAGCGGGTGGAGAGCGGCTTCCTGCAGCACGGCCTGGCGGAGGCGGCGGCGGGGCCCGGGCTGGCCAGCGAGGTGGCCGCCGCTGGCGGCGGAGGCGGCGGCAGGATGTGCGTGGAGGGTCTGGGACTGGCGTACGGCGAGCAGGGCTACGCGGCGGCGGGCGCGGGCCACTACCGGGACTGTCCGCCGCTGGGCGCGGCGTTCGACGGCTACAGCCTGCCGACTCCGGACCCGTCGCCGCTGGACGCGGCGGAGAGCGAGGCGCCCTTCTTCGCGGCGGGGCTGCAGGAGGAGTGCGCGCTGGTGCCCTACGGCTACGGCCCGCACCCGGCGGCGGCCGAGTACCCGGTGGCGGCGGCGTCCGAGAGCCCGTCGGGCGCGGGGCTGCGGCGGCACCTGGCGCCCGGGGAGGCGCTGGGCGCGGGCGGGTCGCTGCAGGGGCTGCTGGGCTGCCCGGCGCCGCTGCACGCGTACTACGGGCAGGCGTGCCAGCCGCCGGGCCCGGGGCGCGGCCCGCTGCCGCCGCCGCTGCCGCCGGGGGCCGTGGGGCAGCCGTCGCCGCCGCCCGAGACGGGACCGTGCCGGGAGCAGCTGGAGCAGCTGCCGCCGGAGGAGCTGCTGGGCGAGGTGGACCGCACGGAGTTCGAACAGTACCTGCGCTTCGCCTGCAAGCCCGAGCTGGGGCTGCCCTACGGCGGYCACGACGCCGCYGCCGCCGCCGCGCTGTCGTCGGCCGAGGGCGCGGGTCCCATCTCGTCGGCCGTGTCGGACGCCAGCAGCGCCGTCTACTACTGTGGCTACCCCGACTTGTGAGGGGCTCGCTGGGGCACGGCACGGACAGTGACAYCGAGGCACCCGGCCCCGCTCCTATTTATGTAATTTATTTGAATCTTGAGAACTGMCAGGGTATCCGTGACCTGCTCGAGGTTTAAAAGGTGATGTGCCACTTCGCTGTCCAGGTGGTGCAGGTATTACCATCACTGTCCGACAGTGACAYGAAAAACTGTTCCTGCTCTGGAATCATTATACTGGTGGGACACGGAGAATATAATTTCTGAGATCTTGTGAGAGATCCATCTGCTTTTGTATGTTTTACAGAGTGCTGGGTTTTATATGATGGATTTGTACAGAATAATTTTGCACTTTTACAAATAAAGGGGAAATAAAACTGCTCTGTGATAACTCCTCCAAGAAATCTTATCGTCCTTTGTAATTGGAATTTTGCTGTCTTTTAAACTACTTTTACAAGTGTCCCTTACACTAAGCATAGGGTCCTCTCACATTTTCTGTAGATATAGTCTTCCTCTGTGTCCTGCTCCCATTAAAGACATAAGTTTTAAGCTTTCAGTAACAGTCTCCTCTGAGGTCTTGGTTATTTTTTTTTTATTGATGCTTTCTTTGACAGTTGGTTTATATGACTGAATTAAAAAAAAAAAAAAAAAAAAAGAAAAAAAGACCTATTTTATGTTTTGAAGTGTAAAAATCTATACGAATGTCTGCTGAAGTCCGTTGGTTTTGGTCTGTTTTTAATGGAAGCATGGACACACTGCCTTGCTGAAAAGGCTGGATAGATGCTGCTTTAAGCACCTCCTGCAAATGAATGTCTTTCTCGTCCCCTTAACTACTTTGCTGTGCCAGGGCGGGGGTGGGCGGTGGGGGTGTACGAGAGCTGTAAATCAGCATTCAAAGTAGGTGAAAAATTACGACACGAGCCTCCAAAGTGGGAGGCCGGCCGGGGGCAGCCCACGCGGCATCCTGCCACRGCGGCACTTCTAYCAAYGSCTCCCATAATCTTACATTTTCTCTCCTAAAAAAAAAATATGCAATCGCATCTAATAGCAATGTCTATTTCTTGATAGAAGTACCTTCGTGCTTGAGAAATGTGCACCCTTCAATTAAACTTGGGGAGAAAAACAAGACGTTTTCATTTAGATGTTAGTGCTGAGTCTGGYTGTGGGATGGGACTGATAAATTAATTATGTCTATTGCTTAAATCGGGGTGGGGGAGATAAGAGTCATATGGGTCGTTTGCTTCCTGAGATAAAGTTGTGGAGTTGCGCCCCAGAGAGGAGGAGACGAGGGGCTGAAGTGGCAGACTCGCCCACTGCTTAACCTGTCTTCCACGAGGAAGGGAAATTAAATTGGGTGCGTTTTCAAATTACAATTAAAGAGACTTATGTTTGTATCCGTGAAAGATAAACTAGGTGCAAACTGCCTCAATCAGTGAGATTCGAGCATAGCTTCGTTGGCCAAAATCGACTTAGTAACTGTATACTATTAGTGAGTCTTSAATTAAAAGGCATCCAGAGTCTTAATATTTCATACAATAGTCTACCCTCTAGTTTCTTAATCTTCCCATTTTACTTTTCAAACAGTCTTCAATTCTCGGAGAAATACCTAAAATACCCACCCTGCCATTCTCTTGTCTGCTCTCCCAACTGTTCACGAGAAAAATTATGTAATTCCTAATGAGGTGATACTTCAGAACAAGAGCATGATATGTTTTCTTGACACTTAAATTTGGAAAAAAATACTACATGTATAAAACATAGATACGTAAACCCAGTAAATAAATGTGCATGAGAKATGGTTTCATACTTGGCTGAACTTTCCTTTTCTTATGACATTTTAACACACAGGATTAAAATAATTTTGTCCTTTTCTTACATGTTCACAGCTTTCTGTGGCAAAATCATTTTGGTTGATTTTGGAAATAAATCATCAATAAGATGTTCATAACTTCAGCCACCATTTATTTCATTTTTCCGTTAGATACAGGTTTTGCTCTCCTTTGTTCTCACCACAGCTTGTCAGACAGCTGAAGCCAGAAGCAGACTTGAAACTGTAGGTATCTCATAATTGAAGGCTGAAAGCATTCTATTAAAAAAAAAAAAAAAGAATATTAATACCGAATATGAATGACACTAAATTGAAATAAATACACCAGTTTTGGTAAGAGTGTTGGCAGCCCAATATACACAGTAAATTTTCTGAAGCTCCCTCCAAGACCTATTTTCTTTAAAGTATCTTGACTTTCTGATTCCAAATGACAGACACCCAAACCTGTCCTGTAGCCCCTTTGAAGGCGTTAAACCCTTCTCAAACCCCATGACTGCCTATGACAACAGGCTCATTAAAAGAACACCAAACTGATTAATTTTTTTTTCACAAGTGCTTTCCGCGTCAAGGTTCTCTCTTTCAGGTGTGAAAGCAGTTGCTAAGTGCCCTGGGGGGCTGTGGAGAAGGCTGCRAGTGTGTGCCACGCACCGATGTGCCTCCTGGCTCCCTCGTTGCCACACTTTTCAGGCAGAGTCGGGGTCTGCCATTGCCGCTCCGATACCGGTATTGTATCCAGGACAATACGTTTCCTGGAAATTGCGGTTCTGGTTTACTCCAAAAAGTAAATCACGAAGACCGGGCGACATCTGCAAAGCCTTTCTAACCTCACCAAAACTCTTTCTCTAGTACCTAGAGAGCAACGGAATTACCTAGGCAGCGCCTTCGGGGCCCTTCCTACCAGAATGGTGAGTGCTCCCTGAAGTTCACGGAGATCACTTATGCCTAAAAGCCCGAAGGGTATTCAGCTCTTTGTTTTTTGTTTATTTGTGKKKTTTTTTTTGTTTTTTTCCTCACTCTCATAAATGCTCAATAAATCCGTAGTTATGTTTCGATTTTTCTTAACACAGCCAAGTCCTCTACTTTGGTGGCACACTACAGCTAAGAGTTTGGTTAGTTGTTTTTTTTTGTTTGTGTTTGTTTGTTTGTTTCTGAGTGGGCTTGTTTGTTTGTGAGGGGACTTTTTTGTTTGGTTAGGTGGTTTTTGATTTTTGCTTTGGTGCACTTCATGTGTACACGTGTATGTGTGAGTGTGTGTACTTTCTCTCTTCCTTAAGCATATGGGTAGAAAGTAAGTAGGCCTAATGAGGAAAAAAGAGATCTCAGGCCAAGGTACTGAATTAAAGCCAGCTCAAGGTTCTTCCATATGGGRCAGGTGGCAGGAAAGTGAGAGGGTGAAAATAACAACACACTTGCTGATGCAGAGGAGCTGGAAATGTCGAGAAGCAGTGGTTTTGTGCTCTGAAAAAAAAAAAAACAAACCAAAAAGCCCCCAAAAAATCCCCAACCAATATTACCTTAGCAGATTTCTGCCCATTCCAGTATCTGTTTGCTTTTCCAGCTAGAAAGACAGTAATCACTAGAATACACCAGCAGCAACACTGCTGAAGAATTTCTCCTTGTGTACAGATCTAGTWTTACTTATATGGCAACCCTATTCTTGCTTTGTAATAAATCCTCTCCCAGTCACCCTTGAGAAGGACGACAGAAGCTCCTGATAACTGCTAGCATGCCATCACTGGATCGGGAGCCGGCCTCAAACAGCCCGGGCACAGCTGGGGGACAGGCCATTCGCAGCCTTGTGACAAAGTGATATTGGTGTGCATTAGGCGGCTGACTGCACCGAGGGACGAGCTCGATGAACAGAACTGTAAAACTCAGTAATTACACACCCGAATTTGCTTAATGTTGGCAGTCAAGTGATGTGTTGGCTAATTAAATGCCTGCGAGACCAGAGTTGAGTTGCCCTGCTTCAGCTTTCTGTCTACGGAAACAGGAATCTCTTCCAGCTTCTTCTGCGTTTGGACAGAGACTTTTAAATATGGCAGCTGCCTGTGAGACTAACATAGGGCCCTGATCAGCCAAGGCTTCTCRCAGACTGCTACACTTTAGTATGTTAAGTATGGTTTTTTCCTGAGTMATTTACTCAGAAGATCCGTCGCACAAAGAGATTTCACTTAAGGTGAATCTTGCCTCAGAGCGAGTGCAATGCAATTCCTCCTTTTTCCTGCTGACATCTGAGTCACTTCTCCCTACTTCGGATGCTGCAAAGCCTATCCTTGCTTTTGTCCATTGTGCTAGGAAAAGAAACCTCAAAATCCACACCTTCTAAAGAAAAAAATATGATTGCACTTTCTACCCTGTAAAATGACAGATTATAAATGCATTTGCACCAATGCAGAGAAAGGGCAGGTTATTTGATTCCCTTTCCTGCTTTGAGGATTGCTGCTGWTGACACTAACCCATGATCTGTTCCTATTCTGGATAACAGGGTCCCATAGAGGCTTCTGGCGCCCCAAAGCT